AGGAATATTCTTGCCATTTCATTGTTACAGTTACACTATTGGCGATTAAAACTACTACACGTTGAAAGAAAGCAATTACCACAAACCTATTTATTTTACAAATAATGCAAGGGTACAATGACTCAAATTTCAGGTAATTTTGAGCTACAGAACACGCAGAAATCAATATCCTGAGCAACTGCTTTTGGCAATTATAGCAGAAGTTATACCACTGGACACAGATTAGAACGACTTTGGATGTCATTTATAATATTTCAACCATGTTCATTCAGTTCAGTACTAGAGTTTATCTGTCGTACTAGCTGGTGGAAGTAATACCATTTTCTCTACAAGCACTGAATTGGCATTTTTAAGTTTTTGAAAGATCTAAGGGACTCGCCTGTCAAGGCAGGAATGAGGTAGCATTTGATCTGAATTTATGACAGCGCGGGTAAGACAGTGGCGTAGACAGAAGTTTTACCACCCGCTGCTATCCCCAAATTTGCCGCCATACTAAAAAAGGTCAATGACACATAGAGGAATAAATTAACACGTTATATCTGAAGTAAAACTTTAAGACGACCATTTTTAAATTATTATTATTATTATTTTTTTTTTGTTTTTTTGTTCTTGTTTTCAAAATTATTGAAGACATTGTACAGATCCGTTTAACTGCTCCAGTTACTGTTATATAGACTTCTTAAATCCAAAATATGCATTTGTAGGTGTTAATACTTCTTAAATTGTTTTTACTCACATCTAGAAACCCATATAGCAGTTGTGAGAAAAGCTCTCAATAATATTACAATATCTAATACATATTATTGATACTGTAGTGTAGAATAATCTGTCAAAGTTCAAAAGAACCGTCCTTCCATGTACCTATTTCGTTTCCCTTGCAACAACGTAATTAAAATGCTGAAATATTTATCTTTTAAAGAAGAATTCTTCCTTGATAATATTGTGATCAGAATTAAGTTAATATTCGCACTTGTCGAAATTTTGAATTTCGACAGAGTAAAGGAAATATAACAGAAATATGCAAGTGCAGAAATCTCACATTGATTTCTTTGAATACTATAGCTAGTATAAAATTATTTTTGCTCTCAATTTAATTCAAAATGTCAATTTGTAATCTCATTATTTTTCATCCGCCACATGACTAATTCCTATTAAATAAAGCACGTATACGTCACAGCACGTAAAAGTGCTGTTTATGGGATACTATCCACCTTTAACTACTAATTCAGGCAAGATGCGGTTGTATATTGTCTTGTTCAAAGCTGAGGTGATGAAAGCTCCGAAAATATGGTATAATCAGGAGCAATTAAATCTCGGCCATGGAACAGCGGTTGATTAAAGTGTCGGCTATGCGGTCTATACTGAATATATGAGTGTGATGTTTTCCATTGCCACCATCAATCCGCGGGTTCAGTATTGCGATGAAAACAGGCTTCAACGTTAGTTCGCATCTCTGCTTCCATACACGGATTAGGCCATTACAGTGCTATAGCCAAAAGGGAAATTCGCCAGAAAAGACAGTTACGCCGTTGATGTGTCCGCATGCATTGTGGGTTGCGCTATTCTATGCACTGATATCTGCGATGTAGCGTTAAGGGTCCTTGAAATGCCACACAGTGTTCCATGTGGCCCACCGTGACACATCAACTGCATATGCTCATCACAGACATTGGATCTCGATCTACTATGACCCTAGCTGTGATGCACACACATATGCACGCACATATTAAAAAAAGTGTAAACGATATTTCTGAATGAATAATCGCCATTTCTATCTGCCTTTTTATCCAGCTTAAGGATTTAATTGCTAACGCCTGTAATGAACGCATTCCACTTGAAATGACAATTATTTGCGTATCGCAGCATTTTCTACCACCATGCATCCTTTAATTTTGTTTTGTGCTTCTTTCAAAATGTAGAATAATGGGCAACAGTATAATTATTTTTTAAAACACAACAATAAGGGATAATAATATAATAAACCGTCTATAAATTATTAATAATATTACTTTAAATTCTTATTAATTCTGTGCGCTGATACTCATTCTTATAGATAGTTTGTTTATATCGTCGTACTCCAAAGGGAACTGTAAATTCAAAAAATTAAGAATAAGTTCATGCACTTATTTAGGATTTCTAGCCTTACTGACTCGACACTCTCGTCGATAGATGCACAAAAAAAGAATATGTTGGCCTGTAGCACTGAGCTTGCTAGTGGAAAAATACCTTCCGGCATTGGCATGGTTACATTTATCAATCTGAATTTTCACAAATGCAAAATTAAAGCACAATCTAATTCAAGATACTATATATATATATATATATATATATATATAAAACTAATTAAAGTAAAAAGAACAAACAAATATAGACCTATGTGATCAAAAACTTTGTGTATTGAGCTGCAAAATTTAGAAAAAGGTAAAAGAAAATTCCTAGTTCGTACGCTAAAAAGTTGCTTAGGTACTGTGGTTCCGTGAAAATATTAACATAAGTAAAATAAGGTGCAATGAAGTGTGTAATAAAGATAAAATAAACAATACAAACACTTGTCTATATCTATTTGCAAAGATTACTTTGAAGATAAATTAAAGTAACTACTAAATGATAATGCATATTTCATAATTACATTAATTTTATACATTAGGTAAAGGTAAAATGAAAATTTTTTAAACCAGCCTTGTAAAATTTCCATGTATAGTATTCAACTAGTTACTGGTCTCCCAACGAAAAATGACCTGGCACAAGACGTCAAAAATATCCAAATCAGATGACATGGCATATAGTGATCGTGAATTAAGTATGTCCTTGATTCAAGCAATTATATTGGTTTGAAACATAAGTAATGGCCGTTTTTTTAATTAAAAAATTTTTAATGTAACAAAACAAAAAACAATAAATTAGCCAATAATATCCAAGTTTTTGGAATTTCCCATAGACCCAAGATGTCGAACTATAGTCATTTGGCTACAACCTATTCGTTCGGCTAATTTGGTTTGACGCGCGTCTTCGTGGAGAAGTTGATTCAAACGCTCTTCATCAAGCTCATTGGGTCCTCCGGAACGAGCAGCGTTTTGGAGGTCGAAATTTCCATTTTTGAATTTGGCAATACAATTTCTTTCAGTTACTTCAGGCTTTGTACCTTCTCCATACACTTAACAAATCTCTCGGGCAGCTTCTGCAGCATTAGCGCCTCGATTAAACGCAAAAAGAAGTTGTCGAAAATGGTTATTTTTGTCCACTTGACACTCCATTTTAATGATCTGAAAAATAACAAAAATTAGCTCAGACAAAATACTCAAATATGCCATCTTGTAAAGGGAAAGATTCTGTTTCGAATAACATAAAATATTATGCCAATACATTTTATTTTTACTGCGTAATTTTAAACACAACATAAACGGCCATTACCTTATGTTTCAACCCAATATTTAAAAATTCCTTCAAAGTTAATTTAAAATTTTCCACCACACATATCACGTGACGCTTGATATATTTGACGCCAGAGACTTCCCGAGCCCGCGTAGAATGAAAATCTAAACAATTCACTTTCTGGACAAATTAATTACATAACTTTCAGTCTTGTGTGTTTGCCCAGAAGGACTATTAATTTCATTTTGGCATTTTGCCTTGATTCACTACAAGCGTTGTTTCACTTTTCAAAATTGTTGCCACTGAATACTATCGCCCCGTATTATATTTAAAGAAATTAAATAATGAAAAATCTGCATAAATGTATATGTACGTATGTCTTCTCGCATTGTGATAAAACAACGGTACATACAGCCATCAAATTTTGAATAACGTAATCCTTCTACCGAATATAGCGCAGCTGGAAGTCCAAAATTTGAAATTTGGAATTTGTTTTATGATCGATTTCATATTTTGTAAACCTTTAACGAAATTTTTGATTAACAAACTCAAGGATTTCAAAGCGAGCAATGGCAACACTGTAGGGAAAATAATACAGAAAAAGACATTTTTATCTCCAACGCGCGAGACTGTATATCGGAAATTCTAAAGATATGCACATTTTAAAATTATTTTGCGATATTGCTATAGAACTGAATTTTATTTTTTATGTGCAAAGAACATTATTTAATAAATATAGGTAACACATAAAATGTTAAAAAAAAACGCCCCTTTGGACGTAATTTAAAATCAGAAAACTTTCTCCCCTCCCGCAGAGTGACACTTACTTAATCATATATTACCCGTTTTCACAGAACATATTTCTAGACATACAGTACATAAGAACTTAACAATAAAAAAATCTGATGCGGATAGCACATGACTTCCTTGTACGGAATATTAAATTATACGCCTTTTTACTGCATTTCATTTAAACTTTCAGATTTTTTTCTTTTTTTATTAATTTTCATTGAATTTTGAACTCATTTTAATTGTATTTGGTGTTTTCTGTTTTTCTATATATTTAAATGTTTAATGGACAAATTATGTATTTTTTTACGTGTTTTTCTCTGGCATTGCGTTCAATGTCTAGGGAAATGTAGAAATGTCAATCGTTTCGCTACTTCGATGGCCAGATTTCGGCATCCTGAATACCTGCTTTAAAGCATTGCTGATAATGTATTATTTGCGGAAAGTTAATTAATTATTGAGAAATATTAAGTTTGCACTAACTAAAAATTTTGTCCATTGCTGAGTAAAAAGTGACTCAATTCCTTTTGAAAATTTTCTATTTCTGACATATTACATATTTTGTTCTTATGAAAGTATTTATATATTTATAGTTATTTTCCATTTCCCATTCTTTCCCGGGACTAAAAACTTTCAATTAGCCTGATTTTACTTGGGAGCATAACCGAATATTAAGCAAAGAAAACTATGTTAAAAGTGAAAAGGTTATTTCAAAGCCTTCCTGCCATTTCATTTGTTTTAAAAATTTGTTACTTTAGATTTATACAATTTAATTCTTAGGTGCATTTTATAAAAATTGAGATAGTGACTTTATTTGACTTTATGTTTCTTATTTTTAGCCCATGAACATACTCTCCGAATTGCAGTCTCCAAAGCCAGACGAACTAGCATTCGTAAAGTAAGTTAACTTGTCAAATTTATCATTCTTTCATCATTGTTTGCTTTATCTGTTATAGTTTAAATTAGTTAGACAGATGTGTAACTAAACGTTTTCAAAAGTACTGAAAACCATTTGTTGATTAAATGTAAATCATAGATATACTATATGTACCTAATGTATTAATGCGCAGAGAGTAAATCTTAATATTCAGTGCGAAGAATCAACGTGTAAACCTAAACAATTCATGCAGACGAGTTCTGACGCGAGTTAAAATTCTAAGCCAGTGTATGTCTTAATGAGTATACTCAAATAATATTATGAAGTTCAAGATTTTAATAAGTCTAAATCGTAATATAGAATTAATGATAAAATCAGTCGATTATATCCATACTTAAAACGTTTCTAGATTCTGTCCGCCGAACTTACGAATTTCGTCTGACAAAATAAATTTAGCAGAATATTTTAACGAGAACTCATATTATTAAAAATATGCTGTACATAACAGCCATAATAAGCTTATGGACTCAAATATTTCATATAAATCAAATATCGGAAGCAGTGGTTTTCAAGTAATATATAAAACTATAATCCTTTAATATTACTTGAGAAATAGTGCATAATGAAGCTTAATGTTATTTTTTAATTAAATCTTATCGTTAATTTGCGGTAAGCAAGCATCTTGTAATTTTTAGAAAGCATTTTTAATACCTTAAAGTAGGAGCTATTATTCACAATACTGGAAAACTTTGCATGCAGTATTAGGCAAAATGGCATGTTGTTAACACGCTACTTAAACAAAATCTTTCTTTAATATTCAACCAAATCTACTCCAGGTTAGCTATTTTCAGTCTGCAGTTCAATTTAAGAGACATATTTCTTTTTTTTTTAATATTGTGATACACTTCAGTGTTAACAAATTTTGTTTTGAGTTTTATACCTCGGTAAAAATGCTTTTTACTGTCACTCATCTCCAAATACTATTTTGTCTTTTGGAAACTGACAAATGCATAATTATCACTTATGCATGAATCGTAAATTGAACATTTCTTTTTCATTTTAGATAAAAAAAGTTCTCTTCAAGTATTAAGCTTAAATCTTATTTAGAAGATTTTACTGCAGTAGGTTTTTTTTTTTTTTTTTTTTTTTTTAATTTTAATTCCCTAAACGCGTTACTGGAAAACTGATGTATGCTGTACCCTTAAAAAAAAAAAAAAAAAAAAAAAAAAAAAAAAAACTAGATCTGTTGTTTATGCACTCGATCCATAGCTAAAGTAACTTTCACTTACGTACTGATGATTGATTATCATAACGTTAGGAAAGAAGTATACTCTGCACACACATTAAAAAAAAAAAAAATGGTAGGGGATGAGACTTAACTCGAATACTCGACTGACTGACGAAATTAAATTGCGTTTTTCATCTTTCGAAAGCGCGACTTGGGATATATATATGATTTATGCATGGCATTGTTCTAAAATGCGCACTTTAACATAAAATCGGACTTTTTCGAAATGGCACACCTGTATTTTTAAATATTTTTAATCTACGACCCAAAATATGCTTAAATATTAATATTTGTAAAATTTGGTGAGAACTTATTGAAATATTTGAAAATTTATCTTGGCGCACTTTTTCAAGCAGCACCGATGATAATTCACATGGCGAAATTCTCAATTTATTGTCACCTGTTTCCCTTTTTTCACTGTGCACGAACGGAAAAAAAAGGTGCGTCGTTCATTCTTTCAAGTAATTTTAAACAAAGTGCGTAAAGCACATTTGGCGTTATTCTTTCCTCATTTCATCATTTTATCATTTATCATTTGGCTTATAACGCCAAATTTCAAAACGCACCAATATGTACATTCACGTATATCCTAGAAATTTTGAATAAAAAGCTGTAATGTTTTGCAAGTGTTAGAAATACATCTATCTTAAGATGATGGCAAAATTTTTATAGGTTATAATTAATTCGAACTCCTAACCAAAATACTAGTGTTCAGCGACGTTGCGCCGCTGGTGGGCAGCTGACGAGAAACAGTCGAACGGAATATTTTTCCTGATGCAAAAAATAAATTTTGTAACTAATATTCATAGGCAAAAAGATTAATTTAATGCTATTTGAATCGAGAATAACTGATTTGTTATTCAGTTAAGCTCAGGACGGGTGCTAGATCTGGTGTGGCTTCACCGAGCGCAGAATTTAGAGAAGGCAAGATAGTTAGAATTTAGAGAAGCACTGAGCAACAAAATAATGGCTAAATCTTCAGTCACTTGAATGCAAAATTTAGGGAAGACTGCGCCGGGACTCAACATGTCTAGCTGCGGCCCTATACAAGCTTCGAGTATATGGGGGAATTTATTTGTTTGGGATTGAGACAAGCATGTGCGAGAAATAATCGTAAATATATTAAATAATTAATGCAATTCAGCATTTATTTTGTTAGAGTGTGGTAGAAGCAAGACAAAATTTAACAAAACAAATGTCTTTAATCGCCAGTCTCAAGATACATCGCCAATAGTGTATAGCGGACGCAGCTAAGCTTTATGATAATAGCCACGAGTTCGAAGGTTTTCAAAAACTGCAAGCAAAAAGCAAAAATGTTCCAATCTATGGAAATTGTGATGAAACGTTGAAAAGTGGTAATAAATGAAGATGATATAGCAGAAGCTTTTCATTGCGATGACAGTGCCCCAATCTTCAATCTACTAACAGACAGTGAAATCTGTAACTTGATTCTGAATGCAGAAAACATCGCTACCGATAGCTGAACATTGGTAGTCCCGAGCTGGGTTCGAATCCAGGCGAACGGGCTGGCTGCATGGGCGTTTTTTGTGGTTTTTGGTTTGAATTGTGGTTTTCCCCATGTGTAACGTGTATAGGAGACAGTTTCTGTTAGTCCTCCACGAACGCCTCCTTTCCCTTAGGCAGATAGCTCTAGTATGCTTTGCCATAATTAATTAAACCAAACCAACCGGTAGTGAAGAAACAGAGAGACAGGTTGTTCAGAACAAAAAAAAAAAAAAAATTATTAACAGTTTAATGAGAATTTTCGTAGCTACAAATAGAATTTCGTAATTAAACATGAAATTATGTTTAAAATAAAATTAAAGTAATAGCACAAAAAACGGAGCAAAAATGCTTCAATATTTCATAAATCACTATTTCATATTTTTAATTTTATAATTTCTACATGTTATCTTACTAGATTCAATCTGATGACCTAATATCGAAAAAACCTCAAATCCGAAGTCCTGACGAATCTGAATCTGGGAATTTAGTGTCTTTATAGGGTACTAAAGAAAATTATGACATGAATTTAATCTCTAAATAAAAATTATTAATCGACTTGCCTACCTCAACAGTTTAAGAAACCCGTTCACAGCATTAATAGAAAGAAAGTTTCAATTCGAATTTCAAGTACATACGTTTATAGTCTGCTAAAATGAAATGATTCAACTTTCCTTAAAATTGTGAAGTCTTATAACTTGATAAAATAAACATTTTCTTTTAACGAGAGTACTTTGATTTCTATAAATTGTTTTCATGCCAAAACATGGTATGGCATCATTAGTAAAATTATCGAATCGTATTCAAGCTATGCTGTAAAATACATTTTAGTCAAAAGCTGGCATCTGATTTTTTTAATAAGTTAGTAGTTCCTTGTTACTTTAATAAATTAGTAAAAAATTATTTAATTGCTTCAAGATAGGAATATTTTCCGAAGCACAATTATCAAAATTAAACATCTAATGAGTATAAAGGGGAAGGAAATAAGAGAAATGAGTCAAATATTTTCAAGAAAATCCTCTGTTAATGTTGTAGATATTCGGTAGAAGTTTTTTATGTTTAGTTTAAAGTTTTAATGAAGCATTCCGTTTTTAGAAATATAATTTAGATAGTGGAAACTTCAAAAACCGAAATCAATCATTAAATTGCTTAAAATGCAGATAACGATTTTAAAATAATTGCGTCTGCAATTTCTTGTAATTTGTTTCCTTGTACTTCCGTTTAAAGTTTGTCCTTTCATGTTTAGAGAATTATAATTTTATATTTGAAACCATGGCATAATTAGTTTTTCATAAGAAAATGTACCTTGATTTAACCTAATTTGCTTGTCAGAGGAAGACGAAATTTGAGAAAGCAGAAGAAGAAATTAAAGGTAATACCATAAAAAAATGTTACTGAAACATAAGAAATATAGATCACGCATGTGCTTTTATTGTTAGGTAATAAAACTTTGCTTTTTAAAACTTCTGTTATTTTAAATTACGAAAGTACATAAAAATCTTGCGACAAATAAATGTTAAATTTTCGAATTGTAAAAGCATCTGACTTTAAAAAAATTAGGAAGTGTTTACAAACTGAAATATTGATTTAAGAACTCAAAATTAGAAACAATGTCTTACGGAAAATTCCCCGAAAGTTCGTAAATTATATTACAGACTCCAAACAAACTTCTTTCAAAAGATTAGCTTTCACTCATCCGATGATGGAAAGCTCGAAATCTTGCGGCGATTAGTTTTAATCTACCATTGTTTATTTGCTGTGTTTCTTAGATGGGGTATACATTTTTTGTCAAAGACCCTACAGTTGGTTCTAACTTAATTTTTTAAATCTTTATAATTGAAGCTTCACTTCAGATTTTTCGGAATAGGTATGAATTGAAGGAAAAAATATTAAAGACAAGGATTATATACCCTGCTTTACTGACTAAGGAATATTTAATATATATTTTCTCTTTTTACTAATAAAATATATTCCGTCTGTTAAAAAATATTTTAGTATTTCACATGATTTGAAAAAATAATAATATTACAGGATTCTAAATTAATGTTGCAGGATTATTAATAATGTAGTCTTAAAAGTTTGAGGTAGACTTAATGTATTTGAAATTGAATCCACCTGCTTTATTTATTTACGGACATTATGATATAAAAATTCAGATATGCGTCTACATAGGTATGTTTTGTATATATTTTCAAAGGCTTTGCAATAGTGTTTTATTGAATTGTACTGTACGAAATATAAAATTAATTAATTGCGGATGTGTTTCTGAAAAAAAAAAGAAAAAATGTAAATACTTATTATCTGAAGACAGAAAATAATATTAAACATTCTGAGAAATGAAGAAATAAGAATTTCATTGTTTTAGTTGTAGAGACATTAGGTTATTTCGGTGCTGGAGAAATGAAAAATGTACAATGCACTCGCCAGGACTTGAACCACGGACCTCTCGAATACGCGTGCTGGACCGAGCGTGCTGACCACTACACCACGAAGGCATGCTAAGAAGGCTGGAGAAATACCTTGTATAATTACTGACAGAAATTTATTCGTGCTTGTCTGTTAACGAAATTATGCTTAATTCTGATGCAGATAGAACACTGTCTCAACTGACAACAGAAAGTTTCACTAACGTGTCAAAAAATTCACGTGGAACATTCTGAATCAATTCTCTATGATGCAGTTCTAAAACGAATAATAGCACATCCAGTATCGGTGTTAGTAGCATACTCATGCAACGTGTAAAGAATATTTCACAAAGGACATTCATACAACGTTATACCAGAACATTCTAAATCACTTCTACATGTAACAGTTTTATGACTTTCAAAAGAGCGTCAAATACTTGTGTTAGTGCGATTATTATTGTTATATAGCGGAATTAGTATGATACTTTGCATTTTATTTGAATTTATTACACACGGAATAAAATTGGAGAAAAAGTAAAATTCAGTTGTAATTAAAGTACTTTCTGTGTGTTTCAAAATACTGAGTTTTATGCTTCATTTAGCATTAAGCTGAAGAAGAAGAAGAGTTCAAGAAGAAGAGATGCTGCTCTTCTTCTTTAACTTAACAAATGCATTTTGGGTATATATAGCACTTCTATTTAGTATCAATAGATGATAATATTTCTACTCATTCATTTTAATGAAATATGCATAAACTATGGAATCAAATATTTAAGAAAATCGGTGGTAAAAACGTATTTTGTTCTTGCTTTTCTAAAACGACGATCATACTAAAGGAGCAAAGCTTCCTCCTTTCCACAAAACACATGTTATGAAAATAAATAAATAAAAGAAATGTGATATGCACACACGAGTATATTTTTCTTGTACTTAATGCATCAACCAATATGTTTTAAGTGAACCCACGTTATATGAATATTATGAATAGTAAGAATAATGAAATGTCATTCTACAATTAACGTAAATTTCCTTTTCCAGGTTTAAGCCTAATAGAGAAAACTCAGAAAATAATATATTTGCTGACGAAATTTTCACCCCACCGATATTTCGAGAAGAAAATGTTAAAGACACCAGAAAGAGATCTCCATTATTCAACCATGAATCTTCTGAACAAGAATGGTCAAAGAAATTTCATCAAAGACGCTTCGATCCTGATTCAGAGAGCCCCGCTGATAAGCAATACCTTTTTAATAAGCTAATGGAGGCTGCTCAAGACACAGAGAAATTATTTGAAAATTTTGGAGAAACTTCGAACCGATTTCCTGAAGATGATGTAAGTCTGAAATTATTTGAAAGTTTACCTAAGCAATTCCCTAATGCTTGACTCTTATTTTAAGAAATGATTCCTTTCACTTGAAAGATTCTTCAGGCATGAAATCAGATAATTATTAAATATGATGCTGCTGCTCTTCTTCTTGAACTTAACAAATGCATTTTGGGTATATATAGCACTTCTATTTAGTATCAATAGATGATAATATTTTTACTCGTTCATTTTAATAAAATGTGCATAAATAAATAAGAGAAATGTGATATTCACACACGAGTATATTTTTCTTGTAGTTAATGCATCAACCAATATGTTGTAAGTGAACCCACATTATATGAATATTATGAATAGTAAGAATAATGAAATGTCATTCTACAACTAACGTAAATTCGAAAAAAAAAGAGAAGTTAATAAAAAATCAATTGCTTAATTTATTATTTCATACAGTATGACACACATACTTAAATAAGTAAATGTCAATAAAACATAAATAAAGTGGTTCTACTGTTCGTGATGTTTCCTTCTCGACATGCGATTTGTAATAACTAGCTATCAATTTATCAACATTTGTGTAGTCGTCAGGGCTTTGTTTCGTATTAAGGCAGGAAATTCTTATTGCGCGCTCAAATGTGATAAAACTAACTCAAAATTTTCTGTAATTACTTTTTTTTTATTTGGTTTAGGTTCAGATTTAAAATTGCTATATTGAAGAATAATTTTTTACCTAAACGAGAGTATCTTAATGGAGTTGGCTGAAGTTACTTCAAAACTTAATTTTATCCTCTAATAAAATCTGATTCGTCATTTAACAAATATTGAAATTAATACCTAACTGCCGAAACTTATTTTCCAATATTTGGTATGGCATTTCTTCTGTGTACATACTTTTTTTCAACCTATTTTAATACGACTGTTAATTTAAAAAATTTGTCATTGCAGATTGGGAAGAAAAAATTAAATAATTTACCATTCATTTAATAGTGGAAATACAAGTAGTATCATTTCGCTCATGGAAATACAAGTAGTATCATTCGCCCTAACGGATCATCGAGGATAACGAATCACTTTTATTTCAAATTTATTACGTATTTAGTGAAACTTTAGAGAGAATTTCCATTATAATCCGAGTGCGTTTAAGGAATTTGAATTTAGGTACTGTTTCAAAATATTCTAAGATTGCTATAAATCGACATCAAACACTTTAAAAATGTAACTTTTAATGTGTACGATATTTACACATCATTAATCAAAATATGGTGGTTCAGTTGACAAACAAATATATAAGCTTTCATAATCGAAAATCGAAATCTTTTAAATAGGAACCGAAGTGTACCTAAAAGTGTGCGAAGCATCAGACATCCATCTATCGAACTGGTCTATGGAAATTCAGAAGGCACGTGTCGCGTTAACACGCATCGCTAGCGCCATCTATCAATTAATCAAAATAATTTCCACACATTCTCTCATGAACTCTGTCAAGATTTCACATTATCTAACAACAATCAAATTTTTTTCAATAAGTATTTTAACATATAATTATAAAACAATTAAGAAGTATATTGAATGAGTAGAAAATATATCCAAACTATAATCATTATCCTAAATTCTAGAAAAAGGTATGTTAACATCAAATACAATTTAACACTACTTCAATAAATCTAGACTATTCTTAATCTAATATGAAACAAAATTAGCAAAATAAACAATTGCATAAAACATATTCAATGTGCTTCATATTATTAAACAATAAAAATGTTTTTAAAGTTTTAAAGGATATAATAATTGAACTGGTCGTTTTATTATTGTTCCATAAGCAGTTTTTAGTTCACAAGAACAAACTTTGTTATCACGACCACGAAAAACATTTATCACTCTGCCACAGTTCCACAAAAGTTTACACTTGTTGCCTTCGATTAATACAAGACCATCAACTTTTAGATCATCATAAACGTTAGGATTTTTTAATTGATAAGCTGTCCGAAGATCTATCAAATATTGTTTTTTCCATTAAGTCCACAATTGTCTAACCAATAAATCTTGGTAAATCTTTCTTTTGGTCAGAGAGGACTCTATCTTCTGGAAGTTGAGAAGTGGTCTGGTCAGCAGACATTAATGAATATCTTTTACACATAAGACACTTGTTTATTATTTTCTTGACAAATTGACGTCCTTTTGGGATCCAAAAGCGACTTCGAATTTCAGCTAAGGTCGTTGCTACTCCTCGATGCATCATTTTAACATGTGAATTTTCTACTATCAAATTCGTTAGCCAGGAGTCTCTTGAAAGAATTGCCGGATGTTTTTCATCATGTGACAAATTAGAATGTTCTAATCTTCCACCCGCTGTCAGTATCCCGTTCTGGTCTAAAAATGGGTTAAAAAGATATAAAGATGATTTCTTTTCGACTTTATTCGCTTTCTTCAGAGACTCGATTTCTTTGGGATAAAAACGATCTAGTTCAGATCAAATTCAATAATTTTCGGCATCTTCTATTTCTTCAGTCGTTAATGGACCTGTAAAATGGTTTGTTTTCCAAATTTTACCAATGAATCGCTTCATCCAACCAGTTATTCTCAACAATTTTCTTAAATTACTATATTTTGAGATGTCTATTACTATTTCTTCAACTGCCGTGCACACAAATTCATAAATATCATTAATGTTCTTGCGGTATTCTAATTCTTCTTCAGTGAGAGGTTTCTCTTCATTCTGTCGAGGCCACAATTCAGATGACATTCTAAGCCATTCTGGTCCTTGAAACCAGATAGGATTGTTTTTCAGCTCATGAAGTTTAGCTCCTCTCGAAGCCAAATCAGCGGGATTACATTTACCGGGGCAATAATGCCAATTTTCTGGGGATGTCAAATTTTGTATTTCCTGAATACGATTTTTAACGAAAAGCTTAAATTTCTTTGCACAGTCTTTTATCCAGAAAAGTGTGATTTTCGAATCAGTCCAGAAAAAACAAGAAAGTTGTAACTTCAAAACTTTAGTGATGCTAGTGCCTAATTGGGCTGACAAAAGAGCTCCCTTGAGTTCCAACCTAGGTAAGGTGAGCGGTTTTAAAGGCGCTTCTCTAGTCTTTGAAGCACCAAAAACCGTGAATATTTGTTCATTGCTAGAAATTATACGCAGATACGCTACTGTACCATGCACCTTTTTGCTAGCGTCAGAAAAACAATGTAGTTCAATCTTTTCCACATCACTGTTACCGATTGAAGAAATGTAATATCGTGGGATACCGATTTCGTCCAAGTTGGAAACTTCTTTGCACCATGTTTTCCATACAGAACATAAATTTTCTGGTAGTTCATCATCCCAATCTAAAGCAAGTGTCCAAATTTGTTGCAATATGATTTTGACTTAAAGTACAAACGGTGATAGTAGCCCTACAAGATCAAAAATTCATCGTATTGCTTGTAGGACAAAACGTTTAGTATTAACTTGTTTTGATTAAAATGTTATCAAATTTTTAACATCAAAGTAAATTATGTCACTTTGGTTGTCCCAAGCAACTCCTAACACTTTCAATGGAGGATTTCTAGCTTCTGAAACTTGAGGATATTCTTCGGATTCAATACCTTCTTTTATCCATAATTCGCGCAGTTCTTGAGAATTGGTGTGCCATATATGTAGCATCATACTAGCATCTCTAAAAATTTTAATGCATTCTAAACTGGTATTGAAAGCAAATTCAACGTTTTGGTGTCCTCCAATGATGTCATCTACATAAATATGATCATTTAAAAATTTGCAAGTGGCAAGGTAGGTTTTCTCATATTGTTTGAAATGGTGTTTAATGGTTGAAGCCAGTAAAAATGGACTGCTATTTACGCCAAATAACACACGTGTGAACCAATAATTTATAAAATTTTGTGGATCATCAGATGGGTTTTTAGTAAACAGAAAACGCGTTACATCTCTGTCCTCATCTACTTCTATCTGAAGAAAAGCCTGCTTTATGTCACTTGTAAATGCTACAGGTGACGCCTGAAGGCTAATAGAAGTTCAAAAATGTCAGGATACAAATTTGGACCAATATCCAAGCAGTCATTTAACGAGATTTCACCAGGTCCATGTGAAGACGCGTCGAATACGATACGTAGTTTACTAGTAGTTCGATCACTACGAACGATTTCTCTGTGAGGCAAATAAAATGTGATTTGAGATTCACTATCAACAGTGTCTGGAACTGGTTTAATGATGTTTTGTTGTAAATAATCTTGTAGAACTGTTTGGTACGAATAAAAGAGTTCAGGGGTATTCTGAAATCGCTTTATAAGGTTCTCGAAACCGTTTCAGCGCAATCGCTTTATTATCATGTAACTCATATTTTCTATCAGACTTCCATGGCAGCCTAACCTTGTAACGGAAATTTTAGTAGGGTCGGATGATTCATTTTCAGGTTTCACACCTAAACTTTCAAGTTCCCGAAATTTCTTTATCTGATCAGATATTATATCTTCCTCAACTACGATATTAAAGGCTGTGGAATTATACGTTGTACCTTTAGTGTAACCTAGCAGAGACCAACCGAATAACGTTTCAGCAGCTACTAAATGTTTGTCTAAACGCTTAAGTTTCCCAGTTACTACATCATAATAATGATCAGCTCCTATCAAAAGAGTAATTTTTTCTTTGCAATCCCAAGAATCTGCGAGTTGTAAACCTTCTAACTGTTTGCCTAAAATGTGTCTATCCAGATTAGGAGGTGGTAAATCAGAACTTGAAATTTGTTCAGTCACGAGAGCTTCAATTTCGATTTTCAAATTCGGTGTTTCCTTGTTCTGTAATTTTATCTTAACAACGTCAAATGTTTTTCTAATGGGTGTTTTATTTCCAAACGTAAATACTGAAAGTCTCTGTTCGTATAATAGGAAGCTTCAATTTATCCGCGATTTCTTTTCTCAGGAAGGAACGCATACTACCTGAATCCAGTAGAGCTCTAATTAAAACGGACTGCGTAGTTTTTCGAAGTGTTACGCAACACATTTGAAGCGAA